CTCCTCACCCATTCCTATTAGCCCTTGCCTCGAGTGCAAATATCGGGTCATCGGCAACCCCTATTGGCAATCCTCAAAACTTAGTTATAGCTGTTCAGAGTAAGATTTCTTTTGGGAATTTTTTATTTGGTGTTTTCCGGGCAATGCTAGTAGGAGTTTTTGTCAATGCTTTGATCCTGCTCTGTATGTATTGGAAGTTGTTATCTGTTCATAAGGATGAAGAAGATGCAACTATGGAAGTGGTTGCTGAAGAAGACGTAACCTCACATCGTTTTTCTCCAGCAAAATTGTCTCACCACACATCTTTAAATTCTCAAGAATTCCATTCCGGACTGGAATCTATAAATATTTACAGCTCTTCTAATCCCAATGGTTCTACAAATCATAATGAGACTATTAGAAACCGAGGGACTTTGATTGAGAGTGATAATATTCATCTCTCTCCTAATGTAAATAGTTATACGAATCATGTTGAGACACTTGGGAATGGTGGCAATCCAACTGAAGGTGAAATCCGTAATGTCCTGTGTTTGCAATCTGAATCCGTTAGGCATTCAAATCCTTCGAAAGAAATTGCAAATGATGGATTTATGTCTTCAAAATCTATTCCATCTTTGAACGGTAGTGAACACGGAAACTCTGCATCACTGAAAAAATGGAAAAGAATTTTGTGGAAGACGTGTGTTTACCTTGTTACCATAGGAATGCTAGTTTCTTTGCTGGTCGGTCTAAATATGTCCTGGACTGTAATCACAGCTGCACTTGCCATAGTTGTTCTTGATTTTAAAGATGCCGAGCCGTGTTTAGAAAAGGTGACACCGATTTAATAATTTCTCTTGTTAAATTTGATAAGATAGTACTGAACAATACTTAAAAAAAGAAGAAGACAATAATGCCTATTATAAAAATAAAAATTGCCCAGTACAATCTTAATACTTCATGCCAATCATGCATTGGCAGTATATTCATGAGATTAGGCATCTTATTCGGAAAAGGTTATTGATGCTATTTTATTTTCTAAATCAGGTATCCTATTCGCTCTTGATATTCTTTTGCGGAATGTTTATTACAGTCGATGGCTTCAACAGAACTGGAATTCCGAGCACTGTGTGGGATTTCATGGAGCCTTATGCAAAGATAGATCATATTGGGGGAATGGTAGTTTTAGCTGTTGTCATAATCGTGCTCTCAAATTTGGCGTCAAATGTACCTACAGGTATGTCGAATGTACCAGACTTTGAATGTGAGATAATAATTTGTCGTCACTTGAACGAATAGGGAGAAGAAAAGGAGACATCTGATTGAATTATATGTCGAAGACTCAAACTTGAAAATCTTCCAGGATAGATTACATGTTTGGATGAATGACCAAGCGTGTTGCTAAGTGGGAAAATATGTTATCCCGTTGCTACTCGGGTAAATTAACATAACAAAATTTAGTATTTGGAAGCCATATTAAAGGCTTCCTTTCCCCAATTTTAATGATGGCACAGCCTCCCCTAGGATTACAAACTAAGGTGGGCAATGCCATTCTATTTTCACTACCAAATGAAGGAGCATGATAACCTCTTTGTAATAAAGGAATTCATTAACCCCTTTCATCGGCCAAGAACAATTGATTGGATTGGACATACGTCACAAAAAAGAAAACAGAAAATATTAACCCTTCAAAGCATACGGCTATCTCCCAGCCTCTGCTCCCTATGGCGTACATGAAGAAGTGAGTCCATAAGGAATTTATAGTTAGTTGCCCAAGGGAATCCAAATTGGAAGTTAATCACGTACTGCTCCTATTGAATTTGTTGCATATCACACAAGCCACCATTAAAATACCGGCATTCATTTCTTCAATCTTAATAAAATATGATGTTAGGAAACTTGCAGAAGCAATGTATGTACCCTGTATATAGTGGTGTTTAAGTGAGGCCAGGCTTTGCTTTGTTGCCAGCAGGTCCCTACAGGTCAAATAAATAGATAAGTTTAAGCCCCCGTTTGACACCCATTTTTTATTTCATTCTCATTCTCATTTTTCTACGGTACTCATTTCTAACCACACATTCTTCAAATAAAATAATATTACACATAAACCCAAAAATTCTTCTTACTTTTTAACCACACATTCTTTACATCAATCACTATTCAAAAACTCATTCTTCAAAATAATGGGTGCCA